CTGAAAACTCGTAACCTTCCTGACTGATTTAAAGACACAGTCCGCAATTAACTGTAAGAACAATTTCACTTCTTGTACGAGGAGCGCTGTTTCACGTCCGGAAAGGGATTGCTACACTTGTCCCTCGAAAAAAAGGCGGGACCTTATGAGCTTCTAACTGTCTGGTGTCCCCGCCCATTCCGGTATACACGCCCTCCGGCTACTATAAGTGACGTTGCAATCGATTTTTCCGGCCTTGCTATTAGTGGTGCTATGCGGCTCTCGCTCGCTGTCTTCTTTCCCTTGCCCGCGCTACTAGGTTGATATGTCTACGTGTCTCTTGCTTCTTCAAGTGCTCATCCCAGGCTTAAGATGACGAGGAAGGAGGAGGGCTTAATTTCGGCCGTTCTTCATGGATTCTTCAGAAACAACAGCTACTATAACACCCCTTGTAGAGATCCGTTGGTACACGTTATGAATCTATTCCCGATTTCCGAATTAGACAGTACTCCTTTTCCATATAGGAGAAACCACATTTACATTGCAAAAAAGAAAGTCCTGAAATATCCTTTATAAACAGGCAGTAAACACATACCTGGTCCAAGACGCATCACTTTTGGCAGAAGACCCTTGTAAAGCGCTCCGAGGCTGAAATACAGCAAATCAAACCCTCAATTAGTTTTCAACTGAAATCTGTCGTAAATTGTATTACTACGATAGAATATTTCGTACCCTTCTTCCTTGTAGACAAGCTCGAACGTTTGTATGGTCCCTTTGTACTTCCTTATAGAAGGATCTGGTTGAGGTCCTGAAAAGGCAGAGCAATCAAGAAGTGTAGTACACTTTGTGACAGGGCGTGCTAGGCACGGAAAGGAAGATAGCACCGCGACCTGCAGTGCTATCTCACTTGTATGAAGTCTTGCTAAGAAGTACATACTGCGGCGAGCAATACGGTTTCTTTCAACTGAACTATGCGTTGGAACAGGTCAACCAGTGCGGTGCCTTACCTTGGATCCGTGATTTTGCCACATCAAATGGAATGTTCACTATGGATGCTAACGAACCGGCAGCGAATCCTAGTGCAATTCGTCCGAGTAGATTTTGAGAAGGTGACTCCTGAAAGTGACAGGTTGCGATCTCATGTATACTAAAGAAATTAGACTAGGTAAGCAACAGCCTTGTGAGTTTGGGATGTGAAAGGTAAAAGTTAAAAAGAAACAAATAAAATAGAGCAAGAGTTAAAGAAGCAAGGAATCAGGAGAGACAATGGAAACCGTGAAGCCATGTCGTTTTAGGCCTAGCTTCTCGCCAAGAAAGCGGCCCACTACCAAAAATATCCTCTCTGTGAGAAAGTTCTAAATAATAAGAAAAAATTGAAAAGCCCGAACCTTTGCATTCGGGATCATGGTTTTCAGATTATGATATAGACCAAAGTAGACCATATTCCAAACACCATGACGACCAAGAGTTGCACTGAACCCTGGAAAAGGTTGTTACTCCAGCTAAGGGTCTAACAGTACAATTTGCGTTTTCGAGTAAGAAGTAATGAGGTCTGAAACCGGAAGAGTATGTGCTAGTTGATGGTGAAGAGAAAGAGCATTTGAAAAATTCCCAAACGTCCTTATCAAGGCCCCTTCATTTCGAGCATGGTAAAAGCCTACGGCTAACACAGCATTTGTTCGGAATAGTTGTCACTTGTTAATGTCAAGGCGATTTTACTTTTTTCTCCAATCATTCCCCTCTCGCTGTGA